CCATTGACATTATCATAATCACCGTCATCATTACCACCATTGCCATCTTCATCGCCATCATCATAATCATCATCATTATAATCACCATTATCACCATTGCCATCATCATAATCATCTCCACCACCATTAGCATTGCTATTATGATCATGATCACCATCACTATAATCATCTTCATAATCACCGTCATCGTCATCACCATAGCCTCCATGGTCATCGCCATCACCACTGACATTATCATAATCACCATCATCATTATCAGCATTGCCATCATGATCTTCATTGCCATCATGATCTTCATCGCCATCATCAAAATCATCATCGTAATCATCATCATAATCACCGTCATCATCATCAACATAGCCATCATAAACATAGCCATAATAATCACCATCAACATCATCACTATTGCCATCATCATAATCATCATCATAATCACAGTCAACATTATCACTATTGCCATCCCCATCGCCATCACCATAATCATCATCATAATCACCGTCAACATTGTCACCATTGCCATCGATCATCATAATTACCGTCAACATTGTCACCATTGCTATCATCATAATCATCATCATAATCACCGTCAACATTACCACCATTGCCATTTTCATCGCCATCATCATAATTACCGTCAACATTATCACCATTGCCATTATCACAATCATCATCATAATCACCGTCAACATTATCGCCATTGCGATCTTCATAGCAATCATTGTCATCATCATCACCATAGCCATCCTGATCATCGCCATCACCACTTACATCACCATTGCCATCATGATCGTCATCACCATCATAATAATCATCATCATAATCACCGTCATCATTATGATGATGATCATCATAGCCACCATCAAATTATTAGTGTAAACAATCTTTAAGTTATTTTATAAATAATTTGGACAATAATTTGGTGTCGAAGAACAGCGCAAATTTCAGAGATTGACTAACCCCATGATTCTGCCATGATGAATTGCACTGTGAGCCATATGCTATGAGGGCCACAAAATGAATTTACCAAAATCCAGAGGTTGGTCTCGTGTTTTACGAGAGAGTTGTAAGCGAGCTTTTCACCGAACTAGAATCTGAATAAAAATTGCTGTACAGCCTCATTATTCATTATTCATGAATTTTTGGGGTAATATTTGTAAAACAACATAACCTGCTAAGAAATAAATTCTGATCATAAATATTTTGAGAATAAGATGGGCGATTGGCTTGTAAACGTCATGATTCCTGACGGACCTAAAGGTTTTTAATTATGATTGAAGCATGAGCTAAATCCAGGAATTTGTTTAAAATCCAAGACAAAGATACCCAGTCCCATTAAGCCATTAAATGACTAATGACTTCTTTTATGAATTGAGCATATTACAAGGGCAATACTCACAATTTTAAAGAACTGTCAGTATTGCTTTCATTCCAGGACTATAACATTTCATGTGATGCAAAGGAAGGAGTCCATCTTGAATGACAGGAAGGCTAGGTGATAAAGTGGGTAGTTATATCACTGGAAATTGCTGATTTAAGAAGAGTAAGGACAGACATGATGAAATAAGTATATATTTAATGATAATGATATTAGTGGTAGTTAATGATTTTTGTAAAGTGCTTTTGATAAAGGAGTAGGCCTATCTAAGGGCATTGCACAGTAATTTGTCAATGTATAATTTTGAACATTGAAAAGTAATGGTAGTTAAAGTTGATTTTCAAATGTTACATTCTTATATAAGTAAAGATAACGAAAGGATGTTGACGCATACCTAAGTCAATACTCTGTGATAATCTTACCTTAAGAAAGCTTATAATTTAAGATTACAGTACTATAAGGGTTAACTTTTTAAAAAATCCTCAAGGAAGACTTAATCACTGATAGAGAAGCATCCCGCACCTTAATAAATCATCATGGATGGCTGCAGCCAAGATGAAGTGTAGACAGAGTTCGCTCTTTGATACTATCTGTCATGCACTTTTCCATCATGATCTTAGGAATTTAAAAAAATCATTCTAAACTGTCGTTTTATCTCCTTATTTTCCATGTTCCTGAACCTCACTCCCTTTCTCCATCTATGTCATCCATGGGAATCCACCAATTTTCTTCCTATTCTTCTGTCAGAACATCTTCTTCCAGATGACCCCTTCCCCTTACTGAGCAGTTCATCTCCAAGCGAAAGACTGACAACAGAAGCGCACGAGCCAAATAGAGTCATCCCAGCTCAGTTCATCTGACAAGAAAACGTCTGGTAATATGAGGACCGGTACCAAGCTAGCTCCAAAGACTGACAAAAGACAAGCAAATCAACCAATATGACAAGAAAGAAAGGAGAAAACAAGAAGGTGGGTAAGAACATCACACCAAATTTTGAAATAATGAAACAAAGCAATGATACAATAAAGACACATTTTATCCCAGCTCATTCCAGCTCAGCTCATCTGACAAGAACATGTTATGGCAATACGATGACTGGCATAGGCGCTGGAAGCGGGAGGGCAATCGTCACCCAAATTGAGAATGGGGGGGGGGGGGAGGACGCATTTTTGGCCCCCCCCCCCCACCAAAAAAATTAAAAAAAAAAAATAAATAAATAAATAAATAAATAAATAAATAAATATATAAATAAATAAAAAAAAAAAAAAATAAAATAAAAAAAAAAAAAAATAATAATAATAATAATAATAATAATAAAATTAATAAATAAAATAAAAGGACTGAAAATGGTTTGTATTTTTCAACCAAAAAGAAACCTGATTTGAATCACATAAAAACTATATTCCATTCAAAGAAAAAGAAAGTAAACAGGAATTAAATTTCCTAAACATTCCACATGCCCCTATATTTATCAATGCGAGGATTTTAAAATAGGGAAACGCGCATATCTTGGAAATATTGTGAGAGCAGACATGCCAACTGTTCCAATTTTAAAGGAACTGTTCCGTTTTTGAAGTTTTTATAGCCCTAAAAAACGGAACGTTCCGATTTTGGGGAATTTGGCTTTCCATACATAGCTTTGATCCGATCGAGTGCTGAATGGATTGCATTGCGCAGGGTGCGTGCAGCGTGCACTGATATGTACGTACAGTGGCAGCGTGTTGCTGCGCGCCACGTGCACTGTGATATGTGTTTCCGTACGTAACATTTCCGTACGTAAATACTTGCGCTGGCAAATCTCGTAAGTATAATTTCTATACGTTTGCATGCGCATAGCGCATATTAGCATGCATGCATTCGCTATCGCGGCTAGCGCACCGTATATGCATAGGGTCCCCATGCAAAGTACGTGTTTCGAGGTACCGTATACTTTGTGATTTGTGATTTGTCTCGGAAGAAAATCTGTCAAAATGAGCGGAACAGCAGCAAGACGAATTCAGAAGTACAAACAGGAATACAAGGAATGATTTCCCTTTATTAGAGCAAGCACAAAAGGGGAGGAATATGCATACTGCATTTATTGTCGGCAAGATCTAAAGATCAGTGGTGGAGGAGCCAACGACATTATGATATGAGGCACCTATCCAATAAAAAGCATAAAGACAATGAGCAAGCCGAAGTGAATGCGTCCAAGACATCGAAGAAATTGACATCATTCTTCGGCAAGAAGGAAGACACTTCCGTTATCAATGCAGAGGTTTGTTTTACCAATTTTTTAGTAGAGCATAATATTGCCTTAAATGCTTAAATAAATTAAAATGTGGAATTCACTTCAATCACTTTTTTGTTTGGTATGACACAAAAATTACCCATAAACTTGGGTTGAATTTTAGGGGAAATGGTCCCTAAAATAGGCTCAAATTGCACCAGAGAGCATCTGGAAACCCAGAGCTTCCAGGGCCCTAAAGCGGGCCCTGGACCCCGGCTAAAAGGACTTCGCGCTCGTGATGTGCGCTTCGCGCACATAGTGTACAGATTTCTGATTTTCAAATGTTGGCATGTATGTGAGAGGATGGGAAAGCGTATGTGTTTTTTATTATAGAGACGTGAGCCCCTGAACATTAGCGCACTGATGGGGGGACAGTTGCCCTCAAAAAACAATTCAAACACAGTTTTTTTCTAATTCAATACCACTGACTTACAAATGTCGCTTAAAATAACATGATTTACCCCAGATTTGTTCTCAATTTCATTTGTAAAATATTCTTTTGTATGCATTTGTTGGAAAATTACAAATTCTTAATTTAACAGGCAGGCAAAAAATATGCTTTTTATAAACCTTCATGTCAGGGCCTGCAGAACGGCAGGGCTTAGCGCCTTTAGCCCCCCCCCCCCCCCCCCCCCCTTCATTTTTTGGAAAAAGTATGTTAAAGAGAAAAATAAAGAAAGAGAAAAAGAAAAGAGCGGGTGATCTGCTAATGTCACAAATGAGGTATCAAAATAAGCTCATCTGACAGTAATATAATGCTTAATACCCCTGAACTTATGGGGCTCTGCCCCCTGGACCCAAGCAAGGGCCCTTAGGTGGGCCCCTGGATGCTCATCTGACCATAATTACATACCTAAAACCCCCAAGCTTTATGGGGCTCAGCCTCCTGGACCACACCGCCAAATCAGAAAAAATTGAACTAACTTGTATTATTTACTATATAAATCTATGTATCTACCAGTTACTATTATTTGCTAGTTTCCCTAAACTACGCGGCCATCGAGAACTAAAACGTCACATCCCTGCATGCCCCCACCTCTATAGCACTTTATAAAGACTTTGGTGGTAAGCGCTTTATAAAGTAACGTTTTTATTATTATTATTATTATTAATACATCAATGTATCTACCGGTATCCATTATTTGCTAGACCACCACAGATAAGACCGGGTAGCATGTCCAAAGTAGAAGGGGATTAATGGCAGACAAGGCAGCTCTCAGGGACGTGGACGCGAACAGTACCTTCACAAGAAGGAACGTCCCTGAGATAAAAAGATGTGAAAGAAATGGAGGACCTCCAGAAAGCTGCCCCTTAGAGATCCTTTAGACCAATACCTCGAAACAGAGCCCAGGAAGAACTGATGCTCCTAGTGTTGTGGGCTCAGGGTGGTTCCATCTGGAAATGGAACTTTGGACGCAGTGGAGAAAGGTCCCTGGTTGACAAGGAAGAGCTGGACGCCCTCCCAAAAGTACCATTCAAGTGCCCTCACTGGGCACCAGACTCCAGTCCTCGATCCTGAACCCAGGAGAAGTCAAAGAGAGGGTTGAGGAAAACCTCAGCTGGTCCAGAGGAAACCGACCGGCTCTTAGGCCGGGTACAAGACTAATGCCCCCTCTCTCCCATTGGATAAGGCCGGGGAGAACACAGGGCACCGAGGATACTCCTCCTCTGCCCAAATGTGATGAGGAGCAGAGCCTTGACCGTCAAACGCAGGAGAAAAGCCTTAGACATCGGTCCAAAGGGAGGCTTACAAAATGCCTCTAAAACCTTAGGCAGGCTCCAAACAGGAGACAGCTTAGGGTTAGCTGGTCGTTGTAGAAAAAACAAAAATGGCAACTAGGATAGGAAATGGGAGTTAGAAACTCCCGAGCCGTCCGGAAACCAGACAAGAAAGGCGGCGAAACATGGAAAAGGCTCTACCCCTATCAAATAAGGAGAACAGAAACTTCGCAATTGCACCTGCCGAAGCCGTACAGGATGAAACACAGAGGTCCTCACACCCAAAGAAAAACGCTATCAGATGAGAGTCGTATAAAGTCTTATGAACTACAAACCGAGAGGCTCTCTCCGGAAGCCTCAGCGTCGTCCCCGACAACGGCTTGGCGGACAGAGAGAGCACCGTGGGACGAAGATGTTGGAGCCTGACAGAGGCTGGGACACTAGATCCGACCTCAGCTGGAGAGAGAAAGGATGTTCGTCCAAAAAAGAAAGAAATAAGAAATCACCTATTTGAAACCAGCCAGAAACGGGAAACCTGCAGGGGAGCTCTTTGCCTCAAAACAGCAGAGACGGATTCTGATACCCTCAGGGTCAGCCAGGGAATTGTGTCCAAGAGATAATTCCCAAGAGAAGCACACGCAACAGTCCTCGAGGACTGGTCAGCCGAAAGTCTTAGCTCCACCGAGAACCGATCACAGATGCCAAAGCCAACTGCAAGAAAGGGTCCCAGACGGGACCGAGACCCAGGAAAAACCAAAACCCCAGAGGTGAAGGGTGAGTCCCGACCAAGCTACCCAATCCGCCTTTTGATGAGTAGCAAGGGAAGCGGGAGAAGAGAGCCTAGCCACCACCAATGGGCAAAAAGCCAGAGGAGAAAGGCCAGCCACAGAATAGGGCCTCTCAGAGGGCAAGCTCTAACCAAAGGGCCGACGGCACATTGTGGGAGGCCAACAGCAGCACCAGGCAACCTGGGCCTAAAAAGGTATATCGGATGCCGAAACAGCAACACCCTCGAAATCAGAAACGAATCAGGGAATGAGTAGAAGCTGAGCCTACGTCTGAACCCTGGATGCCTCTCGGGTCTACTGGTAAGCCCAGTCGCCCGAACAATTGAGTCCAAATACCTACCGGACAGAGTCGACCACGTACGAGGAAGACCTAAGTCTCAATTTAAGTCTAATGTGTGCCAAAGGCAGACTTTATTTACAAAGAGACGTTGCCTGAAAGATGCTACGACTACCTGCAGGCTGGGCCCGCCGGCAGAGAAGTCGGCACCTTGGCCTCAACCAACGGTTCATGCTCGGCAGAGCTGTTGCGTGGTCTCTAGCTTTCAAATAACCCGTCTGAGACGAGGGGAACCGGCTTCTGAGTGACTGTGGCTGCACAAACACTAGCTGACTCACTCAGGCTTTCATATGAACTCTCACAGTTCTCAAACACCCATGACGGGCATACGTGAGTCAGATCTCTGAATCAGAAATCCAGGAATCGGATCCGAAAACCGAATGGGCAAACCGGGTCGGATCCAAATCCAAACCGGCAGCCCGGGACCAGATCCAAAGCTGAACCGGTAACACGGGACCGGGATACAGATAACCCCTGGGTGGGGCGGTCGGACAGTCTGTTACGGCTCGAGCAACCCGTCTGTGATGGGAGGGAACCGGCTCCTGAGGACTCAAGGCTGAACAAGGGGCTGCGGAATCACTCAAATGGCAGAGATCACCGGCTAGAGCTATGCCAGTGATCGGGGTCCGAATGTCAGTGGTCGCAAAAGCAACCACATCCTTACCCCGGGCCCGAACGTCAGTGGTCAGCGAGCCAACGACGATGGTGCCCAGTGTGCGGCGGGGGCATGTGGCCGGGAAGACAGACGGGTCCCAGCAGTAGCCATAATGTCGAGCCCGAAAGGAGCCGAGTTGACAAAACAACATAGAAGTTGTCCGGGAGCCGCTACCATCTTACCCACCGCCAACACGTACGCCCGGGAAAACAACATCCAAGTAAGACGTCGGCATCCCACTCACATCCTTGGAAGCCTTACTTGCGGGAGAAGAGGTACGGGCACTAGGTTCAGACGAATCCATGACGAACAAAAAGAAAATCCAAACATAGAAAACGAGAGCAAAATAAACTCAGA